ATTTGTTTCATTTTTGAACGCGTAACAACAGCATCAATAATTGGAGAATGATTGACAGGAGCATGCACCGTCTCCGGTAGTTCCCCCTGAAATAACATGCTTATGCCATAATCCTCATCAAATATTTCTTCAACATTTTGTATTGGATGACGAGATAAATAATCAGCAAAACAATTTTGTTGATCTTTAATATGAATAGTTTTTTCGATATTATATTCTTGAAATAAAATAGAAATTCGATCTACTCATCGATTTTTCACCGATGAGTTCATCATTTTGCATAAAGGATAATGATCAGTATAAATTATAATAGATCTACCAAGTAGATAAGATCGCATTCGTTGAAAACATAATCATATGGCTAATGCTTTTAATTCAATAGGATCATATCGTCGTTGAGTAGAAGATGTAACTTGAGAACGATAATATAAATTTTTTATTTCACCATTAATATTTTGTTGTAATGTACCACCAATACCAATTTCTGATGCATCCGTTGTTAATATAACAGGATAATTATCATCTGGAAAATCAAGAAATAATAGAGAAGTAATTAATTATTGTTTCAATTGTGAAAACGTTTGAGATTGAGAAGCACTCCATTCGAATTTGTGTCTATTTGTTTTTGTTAAGTTTTTTACAGCATGAATAGGTATAGGAATTGTTGCAAATTCGGGTATAAATTTACGATACCACGAAAGAGCACCGAGAAATTTATTTGTTTCAGATAATTTAGTAGGTTGTCGTAATTTAATAATCGCTTGAATTTTTTCATTGGTTGGCTTAACACCATGTTTAGATATCGTATGAGATAAATAATCGATTTGTTGATAAAAAATACTACATTTGACCGGGTTAAGTTGAAAATTATGTTTGGATAAAGCAGATAATACTTGTGTAAGATGATTGAGATGTTCTTCAAATGAATGAGAATACACCACGATATCATCAATATAAACCAACGAGAATTGCCGACATGTAGATAATATATCAGTCATTACTCGTTGAAAAGATGGTGGACTATTCTTGAGATCTTGAGCCAGCACATTCTATTCGAAAAGACCATCTGGAGTAATAAATGCAATTTTAAATTTGTCTTCTTCTTTAATTGGAATTTGCCAAAATACAATGTTCATATAAAGTTTGGAAAAAAATTTATGACTACCACCTAATAATTGCATTGCTTGCTCCATATTGGGTAATGGATGATTATCCTTAATAGTAATATTATTTAATTTTTTATAATCTACTATCATGCTCCATGTACCATCGTGCTTAGCTACCAGTAATGCTGGTGCTGCATATGGAGAATCAGATGGACGAATTAATCCAAAATGCAATAATTCTTGTATTATCTTATACATTTCTTCTTGTTTACTTGAAGTACACTCTAAAAAAAAAGATATCCGAGAAAACCATTAATGGGTTTCCGATTTTGTTACTATCGGAAACCTATCATAAGGCTTGGAAACCTATCTGAAACAAACCATAATGAAATACTATATACTACTTCCGTAAACCTATTAAAGATTTCCGAGTATCTTAAAACTAGAGGACGAAAATCCACAGTAGATTTTCGAGGTTCACAAACCGCGGACACAGCTATCTATGCCAAGTGACGCGAGAACAAAAAAATATTCCAACCAACAAAACCATTTCCAGTCTACAAAACGACCCGAAAAACACTACACCGAAGCGTCATACAATGAAACATTCACCAGCCGATCACTTTCTCCCACTACATCTAATATCGTTTTCCATCCCAACATTTTTCAATCACAACCTAAAAAAAACTAAATATAGGACTAAAATTGACACTGCTTAAAACAAATTTCACCTTGACTTAAAACTAAATGTAAAAAATAAACACAAGAATAACTTCAACAGCATTCGCATATGAGCTTTTCTCTCATTCATCATAAATGCACATATAGCAGTAGGACGTACTTTCCATAGAACTCACCGATCCATTGTCACTTCGTTCAACCTAAATAAAAGTAATTCTACATAATCATTAAAAAAAGACTTACTGATAGATGTTGAATCGGGTGGTTCCAGAAAAAAAAGAAATAGAATATAGAATAATTTAAAATGAACTCACTGATGGATTGTCATCTTGTTCATCCAAACTAAAAAAATATGAGAAACAACAGATACAATTATTTGAAACAAACTTACCGATGGATTGTCATTTCCTTCATCCAAACTAAAACATAATAATAAATAGAATATAGAATTATATGGAACGAACTTATAGATGTATTGTCATTTCGTTGATCGCAAATAAAAAAAGAAATGCAAATATACAATAGTCTGAGAAGAATTTACAATGAATTTGCATGTGATGAATTTCAAATGAAAGAACAAATATGTCGTAATACGAATCGCACACATAAATGATTTTATTTTTGATGGATCATAAAGAAAAAAATAAAAACATATGATAGTCTGAATAGAATGTGCGAATAGATTCTGGTATGAGGCATGGAAAATAAAATCAATAGAATTATATAATAGTTTGAATAGAATTTACATGTGATTTCCATCGGATTGATTGTAAATAGTAAAGAAAGCGTAAGTGTTACGGTCAATGTCAATTATTGTTAGTTAACGTTCTAACAGAAGCTGGAGACATACTTAGGATCGTGCATATTTTCCGATATTGCGCTTTTTTGAGCTTACATTTATGAACCAGAGTATTTTGTTGACCTTTTCATTAGGATGTGTATCGCCGTTTGATTATAAAGAAAATGTTTGACACTAGCTAAGTTATTGGTGGAAATTTCTGGTGCACTTGCAATAAGAATTGTGAAATGTTGGTGATGCCGAAGTATGGTCAATTAGAAGAATTGAAAACTATAAAAAAAATGTGGAGGAATACGAAACGAATTAAATTCTATGAATGAATATCTTCCATGTGTTGATGCAACAAACTCTCTCGATAAATGAATAGTTTAAAAAAGACATGCAAGGGGAAACAAATGAATGCCTTTTTTAAAAGAAAAATAACGAAAACGGCGAACGCTTCGCGATAAAAGAAGGGATAGAGAGAGTTGATAAAAAAGTTTTTGTTGTAGGTGTGCATGTATCTTTATTGTCGACGTCGTTTTGGGCGGAGATTTTCGGGTTGTTTTTTGTTTTGATGAATCAATTTCATGAGATAAAAGCTCAGAAACAAGTTTTTCATATGATTTACGTCTAGGAGTTGGTTGTTGTTCAAATGGTATTAGTTCAAACTGTGTTTGTTCAATTGATGTTCTCATTTGAACTTCATTAGACATGTTTTGTTCTTTCTCGTTTTCATGTCTATTAGTTGAATATACATTATTAATTTTTGTTTGTTCCAACAATGTAATAGATGGTGAAGAAGGATTATCATGAAGTTGAATGTTATATACTTTACAAAACTTCCGGATGATATTTAACTGTTGTTGCTTATCGTTCATAAAATAGACATATAAAAATTTCACTGCAGTACGGTATGTTTGAAATGTGGGATTCATCAAACAATATAAACCAAGGATTAGTGGAACAGGTTGTTCAATAGAATTTGATGAACAAATGAATGTCCAATCAAGGTAAATTTTTATATCATTCTCTTCAATTATCATTGTTGGTTGAGGAGTAACTGGTTTCTAAAAAGAATCAGAAGATCAATCGAGGTAAATTAAAAAGCATAAGCTTTAGAGAAAAGGAATGTAATGAAAAATTTTTATTGTGTAATAAGAGACTATGTCAAAGTCAAACAGAAGGAATTTTTCATTTGTCAAAATTGCTGATAGAAAATCAATTTTATAGAGACATCTATGTTGTTCATGATACTTTATCTGATTGATCGAATAATATTTATGACCAGCTAATATTCGTACTGTTTAACCCTTTAGGGACGGTTGGCCCCCCCAAAAGGGCCATGGTGATTCTCTAGCATTTCAAAACACACAGATTCCTATATGAGACTAGTTTTCGTGAATGCATTTATCAAAGAGTTTTTTGGTATAATTTGGATTGTAATTAGGTTATTTTATTCAGATATCCAGTAATGGATAATAAGTTCTTTTAGAATATAGAAATGTTGATTGATTTATGATGAAATATACAGAAAAAAAACCCGTCCCCAAAGGGTTAATTAATCGAACAACAAGATCATTAGAAATAAATTCACCAAAAAGAATTTGACCAAGAGAATAAATTTCCTGAAGAAGTATTTCATAAGACCAAACGTCTGATTTTGAACTATATTCTCAATGAAGAAATACTTCAGGTGAAAACCAACACAGTGCAAAAGGTGCATCACATCTTTCCTCTTAGAACATTGATGAAGATGATGAAATCAATCTGAAAAAGAATAATATAAAAAAAAATGATATGAAATATATTTTTCTTATTTCTATCTAGCCATGCCAAAATCCCTCACTTTAACTCAATGAATCATCGATTTAGACTCAAGATAAGTCGTTGTTTGGCAAATTTGAAGAGAAAAAAAGTTCAAAACGACGACGAAAAAAGATATGTAGCAGATGATTATTGTTGTCGATGAAGCCAAATAAGAAGACATCCGTTATGTATATATTCAGTTATTAAACAGAGTTGATCATCACAATGACTTATACTATGTAAATGAACTAAATAAGGATAACTAAGATGCATTCACATTCATCTATTAATAAAACAGATGACATTGAAAATGTTTTTATGGCTACTGAAATCTCTTCATTATATAATTCTGTAATGCCAAAACGGCCTCAACCGATGATATGTTGATGTATTAATTTTTTTGTTTTTGAATAGTCAAGGAAGATAATGATGAAGATGTTGATATTGTGCTAGATGATGATGATGATGAGGCATTACTATTTAAAATAAGAGGGATCGAATATTCAACTAGAGTACGAGGTAATACACCAGCATCTTCTTGATATGCATCAACCAAATGTTTGACTGAATGATAAAATTCATTGGACAATGGTTTAATAAATAATGAGCTACTTTTAATGAAAGACCAATCATTGGCAATATATAGGGACTTTCAAAATTAAAGATGATGAATTATGTTGATGTTGACGAATTAAAAAAAACATCCAAGCCGATGAATTAATCAAAGAATTGATTCATTCATTGTTCAATCGACATCATTATAATAATAAGGAAGATTAGATGTTTGATTTTCATCCGTTTTTACTGAAGTTTTTTCAAGATTTGTATTCTCTCTCTTCCCGCTCTACAACAAAAGACTACGGATGTGGATGTATCTACGGTTGGTGGAGAGAAGATCCACACCCACACTCTCTGTATTGTCATCAAATATACCATCGTCGTTGAAATCTACTCACACATCAAGATAGCGAGCTTCATCGCAGTTTGTTTGAAAAACGGGAGAGTCTTGGCCATCTGCATCCTCATCGTCCACTTTTCGAGCACGTCATTGGTATCATTCGGTCGCGTATTAGTCGTATTTAGCAATTTTCTTGTGTTATTTCCCTAGCAAAAATTATTCTACCCATTTTTTTTTCTATATAATGGACAGACTACATGCTTTCTCTTCTCCCAGTAATATGAAAATAATGTTTTTTTTTCCTCTATGTGCTTGTCATTGCACAAGTAAATCAAACAAAATGACACATACTCATCTGAATAGTAAAGAATTCATTTTTTTCGTTCTACTAATGGTGACGTCAGTGGGTATATTTTTCAATGGTACTTAAACAGTTGTGTGTTAAAAGAATTTTCACATCGTCGATTTTCTACGTAAGTATGAGGTGGAACCTATGCGTTGTACATGGTATTCCTAGATACAGCTAATACTCGAATGTTTTTTTTCCAAAAATTTAGAATTAGATCAAGAAAGCATGACGGAAGAAGAAATTGTCAAGATTAATCGAAAGTTAAAGAAAATGATTGATAAATCGGAAGTGAACGAATCTGTTGCTCGATCACTGCTTACTCGCTGTCAAGAACTACGCATTACTTTGATGATTTTGCAAAAAACTGGTATTGGAAAAACTGTCAATGAACTACGACGAGCTACTACCAATGAGGATCTGTCCACAATGACTAAGAGTCTATTGAAAAACTGGAAAAAACTCCTTCCTAAACCTTTCGTAGCCACATCTTCGGTCAAGGATGATAAGTCAATAGCATCGACTAATTATAGCAATAGTCAACCGCAGAAAGAGGACTCTATCAACAAAACTCAGTGTCATGAAGCGAGCAAAACTATTGGGCAAAAAACTTCTCAACCAATCACTTTGATTAATAATGTTCCATGGCAAACAACTGATACAATACGACTCAAATCACGTGAACTACTGGCAAATGCATTGTCGGTCACTAGAATTCCTGAAGGTTCAGGTGATCCAGTGAAATTGTCTGCTCGTATCGAAGATGTTATCTTCAAAGAAATCAAAGATACTACGGTTAAGTATGGACGTCGTATTCGCAGTCGAATATTTAATTTGAGAGATTTGAAAAATCCTGATCTTCGTATCAAAGTACTTCTCGGTAGTATTACACCGGAACGATTGGCTGTGATGACCGCCGAAGAAATGATCAGTGATACTTTGAAAAAAGAATGTGCCAAATTCAAAGAAATAGCTCATCGTGAAAGTCTATTGGCAGTCGATGAAGGCATTGGCAGTGATCTAATTCAATGTGAGCGATGTAAAAAACACAACTGTTCATATTCTGAACTTCAAACACTCAGTGGGGACGAGCCGATGACTCTATTTGTCTTATGTAGAAACTGTGGTCATCGATGGAGAGGGTGAATTTATCGTCAGCGAGAAATATATCAACTGGCTTTGGATCTCATGTAGATTTGTCGAGTTCATCTCAAGCAGGATCATTCGATATCATGACAATTGTATTGATATTTTTATTTGAAATTCATATTCTGTTTTTTGCTTATTCAAACGAAATTTTATCACGTGATTAGATCAACTTTGAGGGATTATTACGAAAATTAAATACATTCGACTACAGTTCTAGCTACTCTATATGGAAAGTGTGGATGAGTGAATACTTTGTCTTCATGATTCGCCAGAGTTTGGTTAGAAAAATATTTCTTTTCTTGCTATTCTTTGTTTTCTACGATAGCTAGACTAAATATTCATGTCTGTTCAGATCATCGATATTGCGATGACAGGGATTGGTCTTCTATTCGATGAATTTGTTCTATCGTTTTCGAGTGAATATTTGATTGGATAACATCGTGGAAGTCTATGTACACTAGTTCTCCGGTTAACGGTTCCAAACAGTCAGAAGTCTTCGAGACTTTTGTATCATTGAGCATACATAGAATGATTTGTTTGTGTCGGTTTTTCTTTGTATATTGCAATTTGAGTTGACAATTCTCAGATTTCTGATAATCCGGCGTCATGAAACATCAGACAGTTGCAGCATTTTCTATACCTTGAGCCAAACTAAACAAAAGAACAGTACGATTGGAGCGTTCAGAAGAAGACTAGTTATCAAGTACATACCCATCGTACATATCTCATCTTTGATGTCTCCATGTTCATCGAACCAAAGTGTTATACAATCCTTTTCTATTTCAAGATAGTTCGAAAAATTTTCTTCTAAAATCAAATCAAACTTTTTTGAAACAAACAATTGGTATGTCCTGAGAAATGTCACATTGAGCATCAGAAATGAATTTTTGCACGTATTGAACAAATATTCCGATATTCAGCACAACGAACGGTATGTCAACTACAAAGATTAACCATCAGTTAAATAGCGTCGGACTTGTCATGTATTCCTTTATTAACCGACAGAAAAAACAACTTTCTTGTGCAATGATGGTTAAGAAAAAAAAGAATAATGAGAATCTCTAATTTTGTCTGATTCATAATGGCAACATCGTGAGCGTCTTCTTAATTGAATTCTGATCTTAATGTTCGAATAAATAAAGAAGAAAAGATTTGTTTGTTTCAAATTAATTTTTCATTCGGTATGAGTCCTTTTATTTAGACTAATCCATTCAATTCGATGATTCTCGAACAAATATTTCATCTTATTTCACATTCTATATCAACATAAACGATTGACTTGTTTGAAATTCGATTGATCAAGAGAAAAGTTTTCAGTGATATTGAAATGAATCGAAAATTTTCTCCAATCTTTATCTGATTGTAGATTCGAAGAATGATTGAGGTATGTGTGTGAAGTGTGGATGTGGGTATGACTGTTGCAGAGATTGCGTTCTTCATCCACACTCAAAAAATATTTTTCATGTGTGAGGCGTTAAAAATGTGCGTCATGTAACACATTAAAAATAGTTATTCTTTGGCTAGCGATGAAGTTATTTCAATTGTTAATAAATAATGTTAGATATATTAGAGTCAAATGATAACTCTCATCATTAAACTAAGAAATTTCAAATATAGGCTTCTGTTATTCGAGGATATTTACATTATATGGAAAGTATTCACAAATCAAAATTTTAGAAGAAGGTTTTTCTTTTTTCCTCATAGTTGAGTAGAACTCGTCAAGTTATATAAGAAAAAGTATGTTTCAAATTCAAAAACAGAAATATTTTACAAAGAAGTCCAACATAACATTATTTTCATATTATATTAGGAAATAGATCGACAATTTTAATTTTCGTAGCTATTATGAATTTGAAACATACTTTTTCTCATACAACTCGATAAGCTCTATCCAGCTAAAACTTTGGTTTATGAGTCCGTTACATACGATGTAAACATCCTAAAATTCGAGTATCTTAGTTTAGGCATGGTAACAGAAGTCTATATTTGAAATTTCTTAGTTTAATGATGAAAGTTGTCATTTGGCTCTAATATATCTAATATTAGTAACTAACAATACATACAATTTCATCACAAGTATTATAAATATTCAACTCATCTTTTGACCTGTTCTCTTCTTCGTACAACATTTTTATTTTATTCAAAGTAGGACATCAAATAGGTTAATCTATTTTCCAGCGAATTGCTATAATCTACGGCTGATGTCTCGGTATATGTTAGATATTACTCGTCGACATAATATTTAATTATGTGATCTAGTTCTCCATGCTATTCCGAATAAATTGAAAAAATTTGAAGGGTGTGGGTGTAGACACTACCCATTTGTCACTCACACCGTATTAGAACACCTCTGGATGGTACTCCTGCAAATCTGTTATTTCACTCTACCATGCAGCATCCATTTTAATGTTTTTCGGCAACGATTACATGAATGATGGACTATTAATGATATTATATCATGCTTGATAGGAGTATATCTGTAAAAATGTTCTGCAATTATCATGAAAAATATACATACGGGTGAACTTGTCCTACGTGCATGTCGTTATGAACTCATGAAAATAGCGTTTACCAAAGATTATTCGCTGATTGTCCCTCCATAACTAGCTTGTAACAGTACCTATGCCTTCAACAGAAGAGGGAATTTTTAATTTCTTGTGAAATGCTGTTGTTCGTTGAAGTTCGAAATTCTTTTTCTTTTTTCATATGCTTCATCAAAACTTTGATAGGTCAACGCTTAAATTGTTCTTCGTAACAATTTTTCGTACAGACTAGTAGAGTAAAAATCGTACTGCATTATGAATAATATATTTTGAAAAGCATTTTTAAAAGAAATTTCTAAATTAATTTCTTCACTGTCAGTCAATATTAACCTTGTCAACTATTATCAGTCAATCTCAACTTCCAATCCAATATTTTTCTTAAAAGTTGCAATGGCGCGTTGTTGAGCTTCTTCTCCGATATTGTTCCATCTGAGGATAAGTTTGGTAAGCGTCTGTATGAAAAGTGAAAATGAGAATGTGAGAGATGAGTAGATACAGCAGTTTACCCTGTTATTTTTCATAGCATCAGCTAGAGTTTGAACTCCTTCGTCTCCGATTCGATTGCCTTGAAGGTTGAGTTCTCTAAGTCCCTATGTGGAAAAATGAAGATGAAATCGAGAGTAATGAACAAAGGAAGAAATTTACCGTGTTCTTTCGTAAAACATCAGCTAGATATCGAGCTCCTTTTTCTTCAATACTACCGTACTGGAGGTCGAGTTTACTAAGCGTCTATGTAAAGAAGTGCATAAAGTAACAAGAGAGACGAAGGTCAAAATCAAATCACCGTATTTTCGTATAAAGCATCAGCTAAATACTCAGTTCCTGTATCTCCAATTTTATTCCAGCCGAGTTCGAGTGTCGTAAGTGTCTTTTTGAAGCAGTATCGATGAAATTAGAGACTAAGAGAAAAAAAAAAGATTACTGTGTTATATCGTAGAGCATCAGCCAAATGTTGGCCGATGTTGACTGCTCTTTCATTGCTTCCGAGGTCTAGTAAGGTGAGTGTCTGTATGAAGAGGTATCAATGAACATAAGAGAGGCTAAGTAAGTCAAAAGTTCACCGTATTTTTTTGTAAAGCAGCGCTCAGATATCGGATCCCCTTGTCTCCTAATTTATTAACTGCGAGATTAAGTGTGATGAGCGTCTGGTTGAATAAGTAAAGATGAGCATAATTGTAATGTATAGAGAAAAAGATAGATTTACTATGTTATTTTGTAGAGCATCAGCGAGATATTCAGCTCCCTCGTCTCCAATTTCAGCTGAATCAAGTCGAAGATTGGCTAGTGTCTATGCAACGAAGTGCAGATGGAAATGAAAAAGACGAATAGAGATGGAAGCTTACCTTGTTATTTTTCAAAGCATTAGCCAAATGACGGGCGCCTTGGTTTCCGATTTTATTGTCACGAAGGTCGATTGTCGTGAGTGTCTGGATGGAAAAGTCAAGAGGAAATCAGAGAGTTGAAAAGTGAAAGAAATTTACATTATTGTAACGTAAAGCATCAGCTAAATATTGAATCCCATTCTCTTCAATTTGATTGTTAAAAATACCAAGTGTGATGAGTCTCTATGTAAAGAAGTGAGAATGAAAATCAAGAAAATGAAGAAGGTAAAGGGTTTACTATGTTATGTTGTAAAGCATCAGCCAGATGTTGAACCCCATTATCTCCTATTTCATTAGCTTGAATGTAGAGTTCTCTAAGACCCTATATAAAAAAGTGAGAATGAGCATGACAAAGATAAAGAGAGGAAGAAGTTCACTATGTTGTGTCGTAAAGCATCTGCCAGATGTTCTGTTCCTTTCTCTCCGATTTTATTCAATCCGAGATCAATCGAAGCCAGCGTCTATAAAAATAATGAAGATAGAAATGAAAAAGATCAAATGAGAACGAAATTCACTGTGTTTGCTCGTAAACCATTAGCAAGATGTTTGGCTCCTTCGACTCCAATTGTATTGTTAAAAAGCTGAAGTGTGGTAAGTGTCTGTGTGAAAAATATATACAAATATAGGATAAGTGAACAGAAAAAAAATTTCACTGCGTTCTTTCGTAAAAGATTGCCCAAATGTTGAGCCGCTTCGTCCTCAATACCAGTGGCGCTCAGATCAAGTGTGGTAAGTGTCTATGTGCAGAAATGATGGTGATAATGTACATGTTGAAGAGAAAAAGAAGTTCACTGTGTTGTTTTTCAAAGCATCAGCCAAAATTTTTATCCCTTCGTTGCCGATTTGATTAGCTACGAGCTCGAGGGTTGTAAGTGTCTATGTGAAAAAGTAAAAATAGGAATGAGAAATATGAATAGACATAATGTATTTGTATGAAGAGATGAAGAAACCGAGACTAATAGAATGTTCCAATTAGGAGTGTGAGACTTTTCATTTCTGAACATTTTGTTGCTAAGGAACGAGAATGCATTCCAAACTACTTTTTCTAGCCTTGTTTTGATATACACAAAGATGTTCATGCAACTTTGCTTACCTTTTTATGTGAGACTGGTATGTGTTTCATATTCCTAGGAATGCGACACGGAAGTGATAGCTCTAATGTGAATGAGATGATCATAAAAACAGCATATAAGGAGAAAGACACTGATATCAGCTTTTGAGTTGAAACGTAGGTCTAAGAGCTGTTCAAGTTCTCATAAAAGTACAACTGAGTAGAATCGAGTGGAGTTGAGAAAAATTGAGTGAGAATTGAACTTTTTCCACACTCATTAGCCAGTTGTGCTGTCTATGCCCTATTGGATTTTCATAAAGGAACGTCTCGAAGTGATCCATTGCTTTTAAGTCGAGATTATGTAAATTATGTAGGCCATAATGAGTTATGAATGTTCGGAAAAGAGTTCAGGCCCATAGCTTATTGCTGTCGAGATACTACACTTGTATAATATTTTCTAAGCACAGCGCCGCGGTTTTCCTTAGGAACATCAGAAAAAGCTGAGTTTAGAATTTCAACTTGAAACTTTATATAGTTATAGGCCTCAATGAGAATAGTTTATTGTGAAACTTTCAGATGTTCTAATTGCTCCTATTCTGAAATAAGAACCTCAGAATCCTTGAAACTTTCACAATAAACTTTCTCATTAAGGCCTGTCACTATACAAAGTTTCAAGTCGAAATTCTAAACTCAGTTTCTCTGATGTTCCTGAGGTAAGCCATAGCACTGTACTTAGAAAATACTGTAAAAGTACAGTATCTCGGCAGTAATAAGCTATGGGCTCGAACTCTTTTTCGGACATTCATAATTCATTATGGATTATATAATACACATAGTCCCGACTTAAAAGCGATGAATCACTTGGAGATCTACTCTCGTCAGTAAAATCTTGAATCGATTATCGCACATTTGTGTTTCAATTATTAATCAATTTCTTTGTTCTGAAAATGTAGGACATTGTAACCAAAGCTAGAATATATTCATTGATCGAGATAAAAATTAACTTCATTTTTTTAGGTTTCAGTGTCATTGTCAACTGCGAAAACTTCATGTTACATCTGTTCCAGACAACAATGATGACAGCCAAACTACAGTAAATTCCAATTGAGTTTTATCTGAAGTTTTTCTTAAGTTTATTTTTCTCTATTCTATCATTAGTTGACATCAAAGTTTTGTAAAATTGAGAAAGTTTGCGGTTGGTTCGTATTTTTCTAGGAAGTACAACAAGTATTAAGCACTGCTCATTTGATTGAGAGATAGACAAAAAATTCCACTGTCGCTGGCCATGGGCAGAGCAAACATTATGCTGACGAAAAATTTGAGCCCATGCTTACCAATCATCAGTGCAAAATTTATTTTAGAACAAAATTGAAGATATGAAATTTGATATCAATATTAGATGTCTGATCAAACATCATATCTGTGAGAACTCAAATCCGCTTCCGCTCAAGAATTCGAGATTACACACATACACATAATAACATCTCCTTCTTACCAGAATGCTGAAGTCTTGTATGAAAAGTATGTAATAAACCGAGTCTTTTGGCGCTTATTTATATCTGACTTTTTAGGAAAACGGAAAATACTGAGTTGAAGACTTTCGAAGACGTTAAAGCTAAACTATCTGACCATCGCAGAACAAAATTAATCGTTTTCAATGATATTGAAATCGTCAAAATCTGACGCACCCAACTGGATGCGTGCAATTCCAATGCTGAGTCTCAATTGCATGTACTTCTTTATTAAAGTCAAAACTTATGTGTCATGTGGTGCAGTAATCAAGCGCATAGAAAGACGTCCCGAAAAGGTAATAGAAATCTAGTAAATCATATACATTTTTGACAATTTTTCATATTATCATTCTCGATAACAGAAACGTTCGATCTTACTGTATTGTTTCGTAATGTGTTAGCCACAATCATTATGTTTTGGTCAGTAATTCCTTTTAATGCTAAATTCAGCGTCGGTGAATTTCCATTTTTAGCAATAATTTCTTCCAAGTCAACCGGGTTATCTGAAGAGTCGTTGTTCGATTCTTGTTGTTCTTGTCGTTCTGGTTCTATAATGTGCATATGAGTAAGGATTTTTTGCTTTGAGAGAGAGAGAGAGCGAAGGAATAGAAGGATAGCAAATCCAACTGTTTCTCAGTGAAACATATTCGAATAAGGATAAATTATGAACATTAAGTCTCGTAAATAAATCAAGATTTTTGCGGTTACCCTTTGCGACGAAAGGATCTTATCGTAGGTGTCAATCAATACGGTGGTAGTATTATTCATTTAGCAGAGTCGGAATAGAACGAGTATACAAAAAAAACTATGAATGAACTGAATTCTAAATTTATGCAAAATTCAATAGTATATTTCAAAGTTCGTCAATAGAAAGAATGGTATGCTCGAAAGTTTACTGAATGATTAAATCGATATGTATATAATTGAACTGGCGAAGCGAAAAATAAAATGATATTTGCCGGTTCTTACGGCATGTATTGTATATATTATCATTAAAAGAAAAGAAGTTATGTATTGAAAATATATTAGACAATATAAATATGTTTTCTCACTAATAAATTATTCTAAATGCAAACATTTTCGAAATGATAAAACTTCAGAGAACGAGTATCAACTATAAAAATTGTTATCAATTTTGATTTACTCATTTATTTGACATTTTTTAAATAAATTATTGTAACCTCACCTAGATTTGTAAGAAAGTCGGCCAGCTCTCGTTCAGAACTCTTTTCAGATGAAGATGATCCAGATTGAAGAAACCGAATGAGAAAAACACATTTGCCAAGCCAATATAATACTAAGAAATCGCACAGACGGTGCAGGATATATTCAATACAACCAAGTGTTGAATAAATAATCCAATACATTAACAGTTGTTTTTGATTGGACGTGTCCGATAATAGAATTGACATTGACCTGACAAAAAAATTCAAACAATTCAACTCATGCATGGATTATTCAATGGGATCTGTACCGCAAAATACACAAGAAAAGCCAAATCGAGTGAAACTTTCAGTGTTTATAGAGCTCGCTCGTTGCTCTTTTATCAGTTACTGATCATTTTCTAATAAATAGATGCCTTTTGGAATCATTCTTCATGAGAGAATCCTTTTCGTTTTGAAGGCAGCGAGATTCTGAATGTTTGTTGCTATCTATTTTAAAGATTTACACTTCAGAAAGATCTCTTTTGATGAACTTTGTCAATGACGGTGACAAAAATTAATTATGAGTATACTATTCCGAAGGAACCAAAGTATTTGAATCGATTAGTTGAGGGAGAGTATGGCATCATTTATTTATTTTTGGTCAAAATGCGTCTCAATCACATCCAGACGCGTTTAAATGCATCTATTTTGCGCCGGATGTTTATATGGTGAGATAAATCCGAACGAATGGTTGAATAAAATTTGAATAAATTTTCCATCCCACCATATGACAATACTCTAACTGAGGACAAAAAGTTTTTGACGAGAATTCTACTCACGAGACATATGCTCCATAGATTAATCCGATGAAGTTACATAAAAAATCGTTGCACCAGCCAAATACCAGATAGATGGCAAGAATACTACATAGAGCTATAAAACAACATAGGCATGTGAGATGAACCAGGAAATCATAATTTAAAACATACCAATAGCAATAATTGCAGAGTCAACACTGGTCTTTGCTTCAATTAGATCAAACCCAAGACCAAGTGGACTGTTGCTATAGGATGATTTCACTTTACTTTTCAATGGATCAAAATACTTTTTAACTTTGTCAGCCATATTTCTTGAAAAATGAATTTAAATCTGAAACATAAATCGAACACTTGATAATTTCTTCAAAATAAGTAATATGTGGAATTGAATTCAACTGATGTCAACTTGAATTCGATCGATAGATGCACAACAATTTTTAACAGTCACCCTATTTTTTACCTGTACTGAAATTGAAACTTCTCAAGAAAAAAAGCCTACTAGATGTTTGAATAGTTCGTTTTTGAATTTTAATATCAAACACGAGGTCGTGAGTAATACAACAATCATAGTACAAAAAGTAGACCTCGAACAAGAGGTTTGCTGATCTGAGTTTCTTTTTCTAGTTCGTATATTCAATGATTAGATAGCGAGCGACTTTTTTCACCCAAAATAAAAATTTATTACGAATGTTTTCAAATGAGAGTAGAAAAAATCATCTCAATTGAGTCGAGATCTTTGGATTTGAGTTGCGACTCTCGATATGATTCTAACGATGTTATCGTTATCTACTGTTTATGTCCAATGAAATGATCTGGGGTAAATTTGAACAGAGTTACCTATACGTAAGATCAGCGTTTTTTCTACTACAGACTTCTTATGCTTCTTATCGACGTCAATGTCGAAAAATATTCTCTTGACGAAGCTAGGGTGTGGCGTTAATAATCAAATGTCACTGTTAATGCAACTGAGCGAACTATAGTTTTTCTCAGTCAATAAACGAATAGTACAACAATTTAAAAAGTATATCAGTACTGAAAATCAATACTCGATCAATCGATTTTTCGAATCCATTGTTGAGTCAATCGTCCACGATCGTAAACGAAAGCCATTTAGTGTGACCGTGTACAGCATTCATAAACTATGTGTTATGAAGAATTACGATCATCGCAAGCAGTAATCATGAAAAATAATCGCTTACTGGTAGGATAAAAATACGACAACTGAAAAACGACAATCAGATAATTGTATAAAGCATCCGATACCTACTCTGATTCAACAGAATACAATAAAATAATGGATTTAAATCACATTCTTTTTTCTATTACTCTAAATCTGCCACTTAATACTGGATTCCTGAGTTAGAACCGATAGGATTTTTTTCTTACTGGTACCGTGATCGTTTTAACCGATTAGACTGGACTGAATCGGTCGGTATACCGGAACGAATCATTCTTATTTTTCTGACTCTATAATAGTCAAATAAGCCTCCGCCTTAGTCATGTCTTCCTCCTAATAACTACAGTAATGATAAAAAAGTACTATTTCACGACTATAGTTCTTTTCATTGTTGATTTTCATGTTTTCTCTTTCTTGTCATCTATTGATGGACATAAAACTTTATAGGACTGAAATTCTATATAAATTTTGTGCTTTCATTAACTAATCTTCAGACATCGACATAATTTATTAACTATATATTTAATCTATTTTTCATGCTATATTCTCTTTGTTATCTCTTATGTCTGTGGGTATCGGGTGTAAGTGGATATGAGTGTGAGTGCGGGTTTGGCTTAAGAAAAGACCAGCACTCACACCCACATTCACATCTACACTCTTCGACCCAAAATTCGGTATTGTGGGAAAATAAGAAAAGATCTTCCTGACATTTTTGCGTGATAAGAGTTTGCTAAACGATCTCGGGAATCTTTTCTGCATAAAAATACCCGAAAACACTGTTTTGGGTTTCTCATAATACGGTTTCTTTTGAGGGTGTATAGGGATTCACTATTTAAAAAAGTGTAGAGTAAAAAAACCCTACAATAGAATTTATTAGTGTCATAAACTCTACATCAAATTTTTATAAACTCTTTGGACAAATGCCATTTTCATAAATCCTTTTAAGGTTTATGCAAATCTCATAAATCATTAAACAGTATACTTTACGTGTCATTTTCATAAATCTTTGCAGAGTTCAATGTTTGTTTTCATAAACAGTTGAAGCATTTGTTATTTTCATAGTAGTGCAAGAGTTTATGAAAATGAAACGTATAACAAATCCTTGAAGGATTGAATTAAGCCATTTCGCTAATAATGGATTTCGCCGGTTTCAATTCCGCTGAATGAATTCATAATCGAAAATGAGTCTGGATCAAATAGAAACGGTTCTATACATAACATTTTTGTTACAATGAATTAGTCTATTATCGAAGCGATCGATTATAATCTCAGCCGATAATAAATTTAGAGTGCGCATGTTGTTCCGATTCTTCACCTTATTCACATCCACCCACACTCACATAACCACACCCAAAACCCTCCACCAGACAACAGATCTACTCATTGTAAGATTGATTATTCTATGCTTTTTCTTAGAATGTATTCTGTCTGTTTGAAGACGAGTACCATCTTTCAGTTTGACTGCGGTATCTTTGTTTTGATTCATTTTACAGTCCTGCATGTATTCTTGCTTTCATTCGAAGATATTTGAAATAGATTCAATCAAATAGTAAGATTTGTAAGGCAGTTTCATGCATCGCCGTCTTCAATTAGTTATATCAACTATTCCAGAGTCAAATCGTATCGATCGGTCATGTCAGATTGTAAAACATAAATTTATGCTGATTGTGTGTTGAGTATAAATTGAAAAAAGGCATACTCCTGTTTCATGCACACTCAAGGTGAAAGGAGCACACATTTTTTGATTTACTCTCCAATTTCTTTTTCTTTCAAGCGTACGACGCTCTGTTTGTCTTCAAGCAAAATGAAAATAAATACTCGCATTAGAGAGGTCATTCTAGGTCACGTAAATATAGATAGTCTTTCACAGTTCAGAATATGATAGTTTTTATTATGGAAAGATCCATTTCCAGTAGAAATCACCACCCTTAAGTTCAGAGTATTTCTTTTATGCGGGTGTATACCATCAAAAGGTATTCACAAAGAGAAATTTCACACTATTTGATTCTTATATATTCATTTTTCATACAGTAATATGTGATCATCCATAAAGAATCGTATGCTAAATCATTCTTTTAAATAGATTGCTTTGCTATTTTTGTTTCCTATGAATCGAGAATGCCTCTGCTACATGTTCTTCATATAAAAGTTTCTGCTCTTATATAGTATCGAATTTAGATACCTGTCATGCGAGTACTGTAGAAAAATCAATGCTATTCAATATGTAAATCGTGTCCCTACCTTCTTGCAGCTATGTGTAAAGAGAAATGAAAAGAAAAATATATGCACCATTTCTAAAGTGTGAAATAGAAGCATACAATCGCTACTTCAATGTCTTTCAATACTCTTAACAAGAAAAAAAAGAAATAGGTAAAAAAAGAAAAAATAACGAGCGTAACGTATATGAAAAGCATCGTATTCGAACAAACTAATCAATTTCTTCACAACACATCATAATTAAACCTTCAAAGAATTTAATTTCATTAAGTCTCAGGTAGCAATTGCTAATAAAAGAAGTATTTTGTTGAATCATGAATAGCTGATCAAAATTTAATACAGAAAAATCAGAAACAAACACAAGTGATCTCAATGTGAATGACACGATAATAACGACTCTGGTGAACACATTTTATTTCGACGTTTTAGTTATCCGTGCAGTCATTATTAAGAAAGAAAAATGTACAAGTGTTGGAGACTAATTTGCAACGTCATGTGCACATGCTACCAAAAAAAAAATTCGGGAGAAAAAGAGCAAAGAAAAAAAGTAAGAAAAGAAGTAGAGTAAACTTGTGAGAGACGAGAAAGACTTAAGAGAGAAGAAGACGAGAGATTAAAACAGAAGGAGAACGCACATCACAGCAGCGGAACGAATTTTCTTTTGCGTTGCAGGTTCAATTCGATGTTTGTGTTATGAGGGTACGGGTGTGGGTGTGGGTGAGTGTGGATCTTCTCTTCTCACACTCACATCCACACGTAATCAGACGAGGGCTAGAGGAGACTTATTCCCTGCTTTCTACGAACGATTGAATTCTAATTGATAATCTACAAATCAGATTTATATTTGATCAGTAATAACCACTTGATATGATTTTAGTTTATTTTCAAGTTTAATAATTAATTCTTTTTGATTCTTTTAGTTTATAATCGATAAATTTCTCCATCATTTATAATTATAAATTGATTACTTTCATCTATATTTATTTCTTCATTATCTTTTGTCCATAGAATTTAACCAGTTTCTTTACTTAATTTACCACTTAATATGATTAATTGATCTTCTGTTATCGTTCAATCTTTTAAAGACTTATGTGCTTCGCATTCAAGTGCGATTTGTAGTTTTTCAATAAAAAAAAAATTAATTTTACATTAGAAATAATTATTTTTTGACAATATAGATTTTGCTTCATTCGAATAACATTTCTTGTTTAAGTAAAACATTTAAAATAGCTTGATTGTCAAGTATGATTACCATTTTTTTAAATAAAACTCATCAAACTAATCAAATTGATCTATATGCTATTTATTTTCCTTGAGTCTACTTGTACTTAGTATCATGCTCTCTTTCCTGAGGGTGGAGTGTGGGTGTGTCTTTTCTTTTCATCCACACCCACACCCCTAAAAATTGAAAAAAGGAGTACTCTTGTCGATTCAACCATAAAAACGTTTACAAAACTTCACGACTTTCAACTCTTTACTGAATCTGGTTGACATATGATCTAGTGATGTGAGTTCTTTTGAAATTTTTGTGTCTGAGTTATCTTTATGAAAATAAGGTTTCGTTGATCAGTATGTCATGATTTATCCATTAATACTCTATTACAAGAGTGCTTTGAGTCGGTAACCTTCAATATTAACGATTGAACTAGAATTTTCATGTTTTGGCTAATTCGACTACGAATGTTACCATATTATTGAAATAGGTCTAGTTTGAGAATCTTAGACTTTGGCTTTTATGATCAAGCTTAATATATTCATCCCAAACTCTCGGATTCAACATACTCTGGTATAATGTGAAAAAAGATTGTACAAGTACGATAATTTTCTGCACATATGAGCTTCCTTTCAAACTTGCATTTCAGATGAGATAATGAAAGTTAAGAGAAGAAAAATTACGAAGAGGAGTCATCGATAGGAGAGCTATACGAGCTCTTGGCAAATGCCGTAGAAGGTAATACTTTAGAAGAAAAACAATACACTTGCAATAAATTATTTTTCTTCAAGATAAATGATAATATTTCGTTGCAAAACTATATGTTTGAAAGCCATATCATCAAAGCAAGAAAAGAAAAACTTGACAAAAATCGACATTTTCTCTCTATTTGTCGACCCGATTCCATGATTTGACAAAGAAAAAGTTCCGAAGCATCAGTGAAAGAAAATTTTTTTTTAAATTTCCAGATGAATAATTCCTTATTGTCTCGTCATTGCTTTATAATAATTTTGTAATGATTACATTAACTTGTTGGTATGACTGATCAAGTAAGTCATCAAATAAATTTAACGAGTCATAGAATATAGAGAGTATCGTGATGTATTACTTCCCGTAGCTTTCCAAATCTAACATGGAAGTTTTTTTGTACCGAAAGCTAGTTGCAACATATTACTAGTCGTTTTCTGAAAATAAGAAGAATGATTTTGTTAAAACTACAAAATAATTTTCATATTGATGTCTGATGAGTTGAATATCGTTTCTGAGTTATATACATATTCTGATCAGATATATGTGATTTTCGAATAGAGGTCATTCGACATAGTTTTCACTGGAAATAACTCTAAGAATTGGTCATTTTTTTGGACATGTAAAATGGATCGATTCAAATCAATTTATCAGGGAAAAAAGTTTTTTTTTTTGTTTTTTCTTATAACTCACCTGATGGTCAAGAAAAATTGACAATAAAAGGAGATTAAAGTTAGTCATTATAGTAATGTATTCACATGAATACGAAAGCTTATTTTAATACGTATAGTTTGCCATTTGTTTCTATAAAATAATCAGACTGTCACTATGCATCTCAGACGTGCTAGATGAAAATTTATTCAATGAATAATTTCGAATGCAAATCAAATTCTAAAAACTTTATAGTTGAGTTTTGTATTAATAATGATTTATAACGTAAATCGTTTCGTATAAAAGCTGGCAAAGTTTCAAGGATTCATTTTATCTTACTTTTGAATTATATTTATATTCGTCGAACTGAAAAGATAAATAGAACACATTTTCCTTGCTTCTTTACTACTATGATTTTTACAGAGAAGCGAAGGTTGATATACAAAAAAAATAAACATTCACCTACAGAGTCATTAGAAAATAGTGCGTCGTAGTCATGACAATGAGACGGTCGTAAAAAATATTACTAGTAGATGACAAAAGAAAAAAAAAGTCTTTTTGTTGAAGGAAGAGAATGATATTAATTTTTGAATGAAAGTGTTTTGAAGATGCTAGGTTTTTTTTTTGCTATTAAGTCTATGAGAAAATTAGCTAATGTTTTTCTTTTCTTTCAAGATAATATTTTTCCTTTTTTCAGAAAAATATCTTAAATTTATTATTTCTTTTTACAAGTCATTTTATGTTTAGTGCAAAGAGAAAAACATCATTATTGGTTTAAATGAGAACGTTCATTAATCTATTTATTCTTCTTGTCTTTGAATGTACAAAGATTGTTCAAAGTTATCCGTACGGTGCACCATCCAGCATTTGTAACACAATGACGCCCTCTCATGGAACAAGTTCAATGTCGTGTCAGTCGAATTATGTGATCGAAGCGAACAAGTATCAATATAACAGTAATGATACAATTCAAAGTGAGTGATTTAGTCTATGATAGTCTTCTCGACTTGCTTATTCTTTTAGTTACAGTTCGAGGTGCAACAAGTTCCAATCGTTTCAAAGGTATTCTTTTGCTTGCTAAAGATACATATAGTCAAAACATTTTGGGCAGTTGGTCATCGATCGATTCATCAGTTCAAGGTGTTTATTGTGATGGTACATCACCCAATGGCATTACGCACACATCATCAACCACTAAATCTCAAATTCAAGCAAATTGGAGTTCTCCATCCACAGCAGCTCAAGGAAATATTATTATCAAGTAAGTTTCTTTATCTCTCTATCTCTACAATCAGTATTCATCAACAAAACTGAAGTGAAGAATGAATGAGATATTTTTGTTTTTTTTTCGATAACCCGAAAAAAAATTGAATTTCATTTCCACAACACTCAATCAAAATCCTGGAAGCTCTTAAATCTGATTTCAGATGTTTCTCAATTGCTTTTAACTTCATTTTCATCGATTTGAATGAAACAGGATCGCTTAATACCAATAACGAGAAATTCTATTCTGATATTCAATTTAACAATCATCATATTGATCATCAGAATCGAATTTCTTGTCGTTGGTAATAATTGATCCAGTTTTATTTCAAATTGATAAAAAGAAAGTTAAAAGTAATTAAGAATCATCTAGATTAGTTACAAAATAACAGAATCAAAGTTAATATGAAGTGAAACTTTTCACAAAATCAGTCATTGAGTTCATTCTTTACCATTGTAAATCATGTGGATGTAGTAGCAAAAGCACGTCTTTTTATAGCATGAATATGTTCAGTTTACAGAGTTTGTTGATCTTTCCGAAAATGAAACTCAATCAGTTCGTGTTATAGAGTGATAAATTTTTTGCCAAAAAGAAAATGTTTTATAATTCGAATGAATTCTTAGAGCAACTATCGTTGAATCATACAACACATTCTACGTCAATTGCTTTAGTATTACATTGACTCCTCAAGATGTGAGTCATTTAACTAACTGAAGATTATCCTTCCGTATTTAAGTTACGATATTTTCTTTAGATTTCTTCGACAACCTTATCTAGTGTTTCATCTACAACTATCACTACAGTTTCGCAATCAGCTAATGTAAGATTCAGATATTGTTGTCATACTTTTTAAGATTTTGAAAATACTTTTGTCGTTGTCTATCAGACTTCAATATCATCAGTAGATACCACTACTACAATCAATTCACAAGTGTCTGGTGCAGCACTGAATCTGAATTGGTCATATTTTGGCGGAATAACAACTGTTGCAATAGTTACCAACAATCTTGGCACATCCCAATGGCTCGGCATTGGCTTGTCGCTTGATGATAGAATGGTTTGGGCGAACAGGAGTTTTTTTTTTTTGTTTCATTCTTTTTGTCTAGGGTGATGATCATGTTTTTGTATGTAAACGCTTGAATGACGATACAATTCAACTTCAACGTTTTATCAATCCCGGTGGTCATATACCTCCAACCATAGTTACTGCTGACTCAAATTATGGTGGTACATTTAAAGTAACTCGGATAGCTCTAAATAATGACCTAGTCTATTGTGAATTTATTCTATCGAATTTTACCACTACAACGGATCGACGAAGAAAACGAAGCATTGCTATACTTTCACAAAGTACACAATATCGTATTCTTGTGGCCATAGGACAATTAGATAGTTCAAGTGAGATGCTTTATTTTTACGTAAAATAGATTCAACTTTTGCCCTTGTTAACATAATAGATTCATTAGTGCAACATTCTTCGGTAACTGTGAAAACTCAAACGATGCAACTCGATCAATCAGGAACAATAACGACGATCAATAATGAAGGATCAGACGATGATAAAGCAATTTTCTTACGAGCTCATGGTATTATTATGTTATTTATTTGGATGCTATTTGTTTCAACAGGTATTCTAATTGCTCGCTATTTTAAACAATCTTGGCCTACACGAAAACTTTGCGATAAACCAATATGGTTTGCTGTTCATAGATCAATTATGATTTTTTCAGCAATAATGACGCTAATTGCATTCGGACTTATTCTTAGATATAAACGAGGTACATGGGTTTCGCAAAGTCTATCTCGTGAATTTGCTCATTCAATCATCGGTATTCTTGTTATTAGTGCTGCTATTATTCAACCAACGATGGCTCTATTTCGATGCCAACCTGATCATCAATATCGATTTATTTTTAACTATGCACATGCCACCGTTGGCACTGGTGCATTGATTCTCTCAATTGCAACTATTTTTCTTGCTACTATGTTTACTATATTTGATTTTGTAATGAACAAACCTTGGCGATTTCTTTTGACATGGATATTATTAGAATTTGTTATATTGATTGGTTTCGAATGTCTCGAAATTTTCTATCGCAACAATTGGCCACCATTTAACGTTCAAAACAGAACTGAACTTTTGCAAATGAATGTTCGTGATAATGGTAGCGAAGCAACGTCGTCGATCAATGATCGATCATCTTCAAGAGATATACTTAAGGAGCGATTGAAAACTCTCCTTCTGATACTTCATATTCTGATTGCATTTGGTCTTTCGCTTACGCTCGCTTACGGCGCTGGACACATTTCTTAAGCGAAAATTCAAAAAATTAATCTACGACTATCTCTATTAAACGAACAATTTCCATTCATAGTTCAAATACACTTGCAGCTTGACCATTGCTCTTTTCAATGTGCACTTTAATGCTTTATGCTAAACTTAATACTAATAAAAAAAAAAAAAGAAAACTTGATTTTATGAGCATTATCAAGTGGATTGTTGATGTCTGATGTTGAACAAAATTGCGGTTCTGTTTACGATTCATCGCACACAATGATAAAATCGCCGGCTTGTAGTGATCATTGATAGAGTTGCCAATATTTATGCTGCTCTTTTTTTCTTCATTGAGTGCAATAGAATAAGACACCGAATGTAAATATAGATAGATGTGTTTGAGATCACATTTAAAATGTATCTACCCTTGGCTTCTTATTGCATCTCTGACAATCGACACGACGATATTAAACAAGTTTCATCCGTCACTGTATAAGCAATTTTGAATGATCCTTCACAAATATTTATTTATTTTTTATCAAAATAAAGCTTAATAGAAGCAGTTGTCCGATTATAAGTTGAATGTATTACTATCACAGATTATCAGACTCACTGTCTTTATTGAAAATAGTGAACACGATCGATATTAGTATTTTTTGCATCAATTTCGAGTAACGGTTTACTTTTGCTTACAATAAAATAGCACTTTTTCACTAGGATGATTCCCATGGTACCATTCATGACTCGTAATTTTTCTCAGTCCGTTTTATTGAATAGAATGAGAAGAAACACTTGTTCACTTCCAAATCCTGTAGAGTAAACTTTTTTTTCCTTTACAAAACTAAGAAATTTTATCTACAATCTCATTGATGAAGACTATCTTCAGTTAAAAGTTTCACAGGTAAGGAGGTTATCACAGCCTAGTTTCGTTCGGAGATACGCCTCTGTATAGTAGGTGTGAAAGCAAACGTTGTATGTAGAAGACAGAGTGAGACACATTTTTTTCATACTCAACTCAAAGTCAATCTAGCTAACAGCAACATTTAAAATACGTACGTCGAAGTGAATTATGAGAACCCTTCACTAACAGTACAACTTATTATGCCACTGCTACTCATTTCATGACTAGGTAGACTATGAAACCGATAAAAACTGATTCTATTCAATAAAAAAATAATTCAAATTTATTTATCACTTATGAATCAGGTTACCATTTTTATCTATCTTCATCATTTGAAACATACAAAAAAAAGACAACAATAAATTATTGATAAATAAGTTTTATTACTACCAAAAAAAAAGAATATTTTTCCAAATCTCAGTTAGTCACAGATATATTTGACATGTGCACCACTGTTGTTGGTGTTGAAGTTGATATTAATTGTAATTGTTTGTAGGGCAAATAGATTCACTGAATGAAACTTTGTTTTTTTTGGCTTTTAAATATTTTTAATTGTTGTTGTTTTTATGGTGATAGCTTCAGAAAAAGTGAAGATCTCTTTTTCTTCCTAGATTTGACGAGATCATCGATTAGGAAGCTTTAGCTTACAATGAATGCTAATACTTTGAAATTGCTGATTGCTATTGTTGAACTGATATGTTTGACATTAGAACACAGATATACAAAAACTGAATTTCACTTTTGCCTCCAACCCCTATTGATTCTCAAAAAGTATGAATTTCCTTCTCTCTCTCCTCTTCAGTCTTTACTTTTTTCATCGTTGAATAGGTTATTTTATTCATAGAAGAGTGACTATTTTTGCTTTTTCGAGATGTTCTTACGAAAAGATCGCAGATTTATATCTGTATTTATTTTTACAAAACCATTCATTCATCATCTACATTCAAAAACACATTACTACTTCTTTATCTTTGACTTCATATGTCCTCCTGTGGTCTTCAATCTATCTTCGACTCTGCAAACAATATCTTTGATCCTAACTATTTCGGGATGTTGACCTGGTAATGATGCTTCGAAGATTGTTGAGGCCTTCTTTAACAATATCAATGCTTTTTCCAATTCATCCTTATCTTCATACACAAGACCCATATTCTCGTAGGTACTTGCAATCATTGGATGTTGAGCAGGAAGTGATCTCACTTTGATTTTAATTGATCGATTATAATACTCCAATGCATGATCATAATGACCGAGACAATAATGAATATTTCCAATATTGTTGCACGACCCACCAATATCAGGATGGTCTGCTGGCAGATGCTTTTTCCTAATAGAAAATGACTTCTCATAGAAGTCGAGCGCCTCCAAATACTTTTGCTGTTCCTGATAGATGATGCCAATGTTGTTGTAAAACATGGCTGCTATATCTGGATGATTCTCATCGTTTGCTTGTTTGAAGAGTGACACGCCTCGATTGTACGATTCGAGTGCTCGACGATGATCACCTTTCTTTCGATAAGCCTCACCGATACTGTTATGTATGATACCAATCACCACATAATCGAATGAATGAGTTTTCATAAGAATCTCGAGTGATTTCTGGTACCATTCAAGACTCATGTTATACTCTCCTTTATCGTCAGCAACCATACCAAGATGTTGATACAATGCACCAAGTAAAGGATCATTCGATGAAAATTCTTTCAGCAATCGACGATAGTACTTTTCAGCGAAATCGAATTGTCCCATTCTATGCATCACATCACCAAGAGAGAGAAGATTTGTTTCCTCTTTATGATATTCGTTCTTCATGTAATCATAGAGTTGTTTGAAATCTCTGTCATAATCACTGCATAATGTCATTTTAATGATTGACATTGTCGCACCAGCTGCTGATTGATTATGAGAAAACTGGTTTAAGCAAAAGATGGAATTGAACATGAAGAGAACTTCGGATTCATCTTTATAATAACTCAGTTCAGCGATTTTTGCAAATGGTCGTCGATTATCCTTGTTCGTTTTATCCAAAACGCGAGGATCAGCTTCAATTTCAAATAGTACTGGAATTAAGTCATTGGATGCTGACAAATTTATACTCTCATTGAGAAATTTTAATGCTACATCGCGTTTCAATGTTGTCAATAAAAATGAATTCATAATAATGATACTTCCCACCGAATTGCGTAATCGATTCAATTCTTGTTTCAAAATCTTCTGACCATAATATACTGTTATACATTTCTGACATTGATGAGTACGTAATTGCTCGAAAATATCACGAATAACAGCACGAAAAAGAAACAAGACATCCACGTTTTGTATACGTAACGCCTTGTTTGAAAGCCGATAAACAAATGACTCACGTGTATACCACCATATAGCATTCGTCGATTGATATTCACGATTAAATTCCTTTACCAACTTCAGTTCGTCATCATTGTCTTTGTATTCATTTTTGCATAATTCGATTAGATCTCGTTTGTCCTGTTCATTCGGTTTCATTCTAAGGAGTACATCGATTAACAATTGTGAATACAGGAAATCCCCACTCAACTTCGTTGAAGATCGATTCAATATATTAATTACTAATGGTTCTTCCATTCGAACTCGATGCTTTTGATCTATCTGGATCACATTGATCAGATCGTCCAGTCTATTGCAAATAGCTTTAACCTATAATAAATTAACAATGCACGGATTAGTTTTATTTATATTGGGATATATATATATATATACCTTGGTGTATGATCGACTCCACTGTTCATTTGCCTCTTTGTCAAAACAATATACGTATATCGACGATACCTGAGGTAATTTCTGCATTTCGGGCACAACAAGACGACCCAGTTGACCACTTACAATTAAGATGGCAAGATCACCTTGACAAATACAACGTACACGTGCCATAAATTCGTCGGGATCGACAAAAGTTTGCAATCGATTAATAATACTTCGTAAACGTTTTTTAACACCCAAGTTCTCTTTATTATGCACCGAAGAATCTAGCCAAAAGATGCTATAAGTTTCCAAATTGTCGTCTTTATTATTAAAGTGAGTCACGAAGGATCCCATTTTTGATTGATTTTGTATGTATGTATGTATGTGGTTGAAAATTCTTTTTTTGTATTGGCAATTCGAATGATCTTATCTTTCTATTAAACGTGCTTTTATTTACAACAGACACGTGTGAAAAAAAATTCTTTCTTCTTATCATGCGCCTATCATTTGTAGTTCGTTGTTTCAACAATTCATATTTACTCATCTTACTTGAAAGTCAGGTGAGTACTATTTCGCTAAAAAAAACATCCTTTTATCGTATTTCGTTTGATGTATTATACTTCAGTCGACAACAACATATACTTCACATATTTGTTTTTTCCAACTTCTACAAAAAATAACTCTACAGTGCTCATCGAAACAATCCTGTCTAGATTGTGTCAAAGCTTTTTATGTCCACAATGTTGTTTCCATTTTGAACTACACTGATAATTAACCGATAACGCTATTACACAATCTCTAATTATTATACAAGTGATGTAAAAATTACAGCCAAATCGAGTCTTCTAAGCTAATATTCATTCAACGATTTCTTCCACCAATAACTTGATTTGCAACGGAGACCAACGCCAAATTCTGTAAGGAGTGCTATTATTTTCCGCGCGGAACATTCATGCGGTACACAATAGTTTACCGCAAGTGCGAATATGTCATAGAGCACATCGCGTAGTTTTCTGAGCTTTTACACATGCACAAAAAAACTCCTTCTTCACATTTCGCATACATCTGAAACTATATAAATTTAGCTGGCTTTCATTTCACTCTCGAAGCATGACGTGGAATCAACTATGTTACTGATGAAAATGTTCTCAAACTCATTCATATCGCAAACTAAGTAACACAGATATCCATCTGCACACCCGGAAAACCAGCATACATTCCCAGACAGGTGCAAACCTACAAATACACCTAGCAACAGTCCTCTACAGTCTCTCACTCACATCAACACACACTAACTACTCCACAGACAGTGTTCATGACACAATCATACTGAGAAATACACCGTCGCACGTCACATCCAAACCAACTCTCATACACATATCCGCACGACTAGCTACAACCAATAACTGTGACCACGCTCGCGCCTACAGTATTTGCTAGAACATCGATTTAGAGTGTCGACTAGAATACCGATTACTGCTGAATGATAAAATATGAACCGTTAATATTTTTACAGTTTTGTTGTAGGTGTTCAAGTGCACACCTGACAATTGAAAATTTATTGCGAACAATCCACGAGAGTACATTTGTGTTTAAAAAAAAACTCGCTTGAAACACTTAAAAAAAGTCGATCAAAAAGTTATGTAATATTCGATTCAACACTTCTTTATCTCCTCTGTCCAATGATAAAAACAAAACTCGATTAAATAAATAAGATAAAACGTTGTCGTTCAAACATTCTCTTGAAAAGTCGATTGGTTACACCACTTTAGCTTGGTGTTTCTGGCAAATAGCTGATCGTATCAAGCTATAACAGTTTTACTTTATGCTAATAAAAACCCACATTCTTTTTTTTTCAAGTAGGTTCAATAATATTAAAAATTCGATGATCAACATTCAAGGGGGAAACAGCTGATTAGGAATCCGCTAATCATCCGAATGACTCCTAATCACCACTAATCACTCCTAATCAATGCTAATCACCACTAATCACTCCTAATCAATACTAATCACCACTGATCACTCCTAATCATTATTAATCACTCTTAATCATTACTAATCACTCCTAATCAAACAGTGATCAAATCTAATCACTTTTAGTTAAGTATAATGTATAATATTATAAAAGAGATTCACAATCAAACAGAAGTTTCTTCTGTATAAATATGTATACCAATGTATTCTTAATACGAGGACACTTTTTACAAAACTATTTATTTAATAAAAATTCGAGCTTTCTAATGTACAAGACAAAGATTAGTATATGATGCATTTCGAACGAAACAGAAAAATATTTGATTTCTTTCTATGTTGAAATTTGTCCACATATATTCGCATCCTAAAAAAGAAAGTAGTGAGAGTGTAGTTTACAAATAAAGGTTAAAATACCATATAAGTAATAAAATATGTCACAAATAAAAAAAAAAAAACTTATCTACATCAAGAAATAATTTAGTTGTACAATATAAAGCTATGATGTAAAAATAGAACCGTACAGTATAACTATGACATAATAAAAAATATTTTAAAGATAATTTCAATTCTTTTGTTTTTTTTGACTGTTGATTTTGTGTGTCGATCCAAGTGTACGTTTACGATTAGGAACAACAGCTGTGATCGATTGTGAATTATTGTCAATAAGTTGACTTGATGATGTTGAATAAGAATTATTTCTATTCGTTTCTTCAAGTTTCTGTTCCTTCAACAAACGATTTACATATTTACAGCCAGGTGATTTTAAATGACGATAAAAATTAGATGGTATTAATTTATTATGGAGTTTTCCTAATGTAATAATTGTTTTACATAGGCATTCAATCGATGCTTGGACACCATTGGTACCTGATTTTACGATTAATCTAAAATTATTACCTTCTTCTAGTTTGAATTCTTTTAGATTCAAAAAATTTTCATTCAAAGATGACCAATCATCAATACATTTTAATAAATGGTTTCGTTAATCATCACCTGTAAGAGTACAATACGTGTTAGCAGTTGATACAGCTGGTGTTGCTGATGGAATTGCAAATGAAGAATAATTGATCAGATGTTTTGGTGCAATTCGTTGTCCTTCTTTAAATATACGATCACTTGCTATCTTCAAGATATCGAGTAAACATTTAATTTTTGTGCGATTAACACTTTTGACGATTAAATTATTATTATCGATCTTTAATAATAATTCTTGACGTAATAAATCAGTTTCAACATCATTGATTTTTAAAAATAAATGTTCGAAAACATCTGTTGTTAGCAGAAGAATTGGCACAGAATTTATTTCTTGTATTCGAAGTAAATTTGATAATGTTGAACCAACCAAATATTCAATGAAAGAGTAAAATTAATCATCAACTAATGTTAATGTTTCTATGGGTAATTTCCAAGGATGGAAATATAATTCTTGTAACTTTGGTACATTAGAAAGAGACATGTTGTAGATAGTTGATAGAGTAATAATGGTGTATGTTCAACGTTTAACAAGATAGAAATGACTAAGGAATTTTAAATAAGATAGACGTGGAAAGGAGGTAGAGAAAAGATAATCAAATCTAGGGATGTCTCGTGGTCAAAGACATACACTATACAACATGGACGAAAACAGTACAACTAGAAAGAAAAGGGCTTGATAGTTACATATATTTTTCTCAATATTCTTTTCTTTCCTTCTCTTCACGTTCAACTTATTAATTTGGCTATTGAATGTTCGAATTCAATAAGATAACCATATGCTTCTACACTGCAAAAGCAACGATGTTCAACATAATGGACACAACTGAATATCATGACCAGACAAGCGTATTTTCTTCTTTTCAGTTCAAATCATGTTCTGTATTCTGATAAACATTAAATACAAAGCAAAAGATCATCTTATTTCCATTTTCATCAGTGAAAATCAATGTTATCGGTCTCATTCAAATAAAGAGAAATACACTTTTATTCATAATACAATAGATATTGATGTATCGAGTTTGATTCGGATAGGTTCTAGTTGATCGTCACTCAAAGTTATTTTTGTAAATTTGAACTTTATGCATAAAAAATTATAGGAAACGAAAGTTAAAAGGCATTAATTGCCTTCACCAGAATACTAATTTAATCTTTGCGAGATATGTAATACAAATATTAAAAGTGTGAAAGTAATAATTGAAAAACATATATCATTTCTCTTGATTTGTGTTTTATATTGTTTATAAATCCAGAATTCATTTTCTCACTCTAGATTTTGCTGCACGCACTGAAAAATTAGTTATTGAATTATGGCTGCAACTGTCAGTATCGATGATAATTCTCGTTTACCAGAAAATGTTCTCGAATTAGAAGGAGATGATTTCTATCGATTTACAAAAAGTATGAGTGATGCATTATTGACTGAAGTACTTAAAATACAGGATATTGATTCAGTTTTAATATTTTTACAAACAAGTGATATTTTTGAAATATTCCAACATGATTCTACAATATTACGAGATTTGAAATCAAAAATAGGTTTCGATTCAAATGATGGTACATTTCAAGTCAAACTTGATTTAAAATTGCAATACGAATATTTATCAAAATTATTGAAATCAAAATCAGATCAGAAATATACAAAATCGTCGTCTCTTACATCTGAAAAGATTGATATACTACTTCGAAAACATCCAATTCTTCTTTCACTTCTCAATTTCTATGAGAATGAAAGTACCACAAATGATCAACATGAATTTTTATCCCTATTTATAAATACTATAACGAAAAATTTATTTTTATCTAATACGAGTCGATATAGATATGATGGCAAATTGAAAATTTTTGCTGTTTGCTTGTACATACTTGGAGGAAAGACAACTTATGAGTTTGTCCGATTAAATTTGCCAGGATCATTGCCAAATCTTACAACAATTCATAGTTCAATACAAAATAATGATGATAATTTAACAGAAGATAAATTTCGATTCAATAAAATGGCAAAGTATCTCAATAGTTTCGGTGTTCAATATGCATATTGTGCAGAAGATTGTAAGTTTTTCATGAATAATATCGATTAGGTTTTGATTGTCTTCTTGTAAATGATTTTTTCTGAAACATTTTGTTTCTACAAAGAATAAAATTTAAGAGTAAATCTGAAATAGATTCATTCCTGTTTGTTCAATGATCAATAAATAAATCATGTCATGGGACATAAAATAAATTACAATCATATACTTTTTTAACCTTTGAAAGCTCCTTCAGTCCACTTGAAACAAAAGTGCTTTTCATTGAGAAAATATGAGAAAATCAGCTTTGTTTGATTGTTGAAATTTGAACTATGTCTTTACTAAATGATAGAGGAGGTTTGCTTTACTCATCTCTATTCTCTTGATAATAGCAGCAACAGTGAATTAACACTGTTTAAGACAAACAAATAAGAAATGGGATTTATAACGAGGAAACAGCAGACTCCAGAACTCTTGGATTTTAAGGAGCTCCATTCGATTCCATAGGACTTCAAGGAATTCCGCGAATATAATGGAGTCCCATGAAGTCTCTGGAATTTCTGAAGTTCTGGAGTCTGTCGTTTCCCCCTTGAGAATTTATTAATTGATCTTTTATAACATTCTAGGCACAGGTGTGGTGCGACGGATCAAATACGACACGCATACAAATAGTTTTATAGATTTTTTAACTCCTCTATCTGGTGGTGTACCATCACCATATCATTTCAAAACAGATTCAATATCTGAATTAAAGTTGTGGATGAATAAAAATGAAAAGGCTCCAATGTTGAACATTTATTGTGTTCAAGCCATTCCACCACCCAATCAAACAGTAGCACCACCAAATTTTGTTCTCGCTGGCTATGGCACCAGCAGTAAATATACATCATTAGATATTCTGAGGCGATGGCTATTCATTCACAAGAATTCAATTGAACAAAATGTGCGAATCCTCGGATTTTCCATCGGTAAATTCAAGTCATTTCCAGAGATTAAAAATTTCATTCATAGCTATTTGAAATCACCATCAAATAGTTCGTTTAATTTCCGCTTCAAAACACTAAAAGAAAATAAAAAGACCAATTTGTTTTCAAAATTACATAGAATCAAAAGTTCCGATGGACATTCAGCATTTTATCTTTACAAAAAATAATCGAATAAAAAGATATCGTTCATTATAAAAGACTTTTTTATTACAATATTATGTTGATGAAATAGAAAACAAGATACATACTTTTAATTTTTTTTTCTTCGTCATACTTTAGATGCTGATAATAAATATTTTCGTGCTATGCTTTTGATGTCTGGATTCTATGCAAGCTTATCGAATTTTGATGTACATGTTGATTCTTCTATGTTTTCAATTCAAACTGGTAATTGGTCTTGGTATTTTTTAAGATCTGAGCAGCTTTTTGTGTTTATGCAAGATGCAACTCACCTGGTCACAAAGTTAAGAAACCGTTTATTATCTGCAACAGCAGCTTTACAAGTTGGTGATAAATGTATAACAATGAAACATTTACAACAATTACTTGATAACGAAGAAATGATTCGGCTAGATCATGGATTGACACAAAGTGATCTAAAACCAACAGATCGTCAAAATTTTCGTTCTTGTTTGAGAATTACATCTTGCGATGTATTAAATTTAATAGCTCGTGATGATAATTCTAGTGGAACTTACATGTATTTAAAATTGATAAAATTGATCATAACTTCGTATATCGAACCAACAACTTCAATTGAAGAACGTATGTTTCAGCTTCATTATTCAGGTTCTCTTTGAGATGCTCTTTAATAGAACTAACTCAGTTGTTGTAAATAAAAGTAATCTTTTTGCTGCAAATTTCAGTCGTAACTAAATATCAATTCATTTTTAGTTTTTTTACTGAAAACAACATTATAGTTCTGATAATTTCCTGTATATTAATATCAGTGGTACAGCTAACTCTTTTAGAAATACTATGCATACGGAGAGCGTTGATCTACACGGTTTTCCTTGTTGTGTAGGTTTAAAAGGTGCTTGGACTGCTGTTTTTCTTCTACGTTTATGGTGGGTGTGGTTATTGCTTGTACGATTATCATCTTTATCTTCATCCAGCACAAAATCCAGAAAAAATTGTCGTGAGAGATATTTTGTTACTTGTACTGCATTTTTTCCGCGGAGCTAAATGCTCATCACCTCACTTATCTTATTATTCTTGTTCAACAAAAACAATTACCTGTGGAAGTATTGAACATCCATCTGTTTTCATCGCAAACATGCGAATCAACTTTTCGCAATACACGTTCACTTAGTGGAATTTTCTCTACAGTCATAAATTACACTGTAGAAGATTTTTTACGACGGTCAAGAAAGCTTTCAATTCTAAATGGATTTAAATCTCAGGACAAATCAATATTCTTACTAAAGTTTCCCGTTCATCATAAACATATCTCACTTAATACAATAAGAAACAATCAAAATTTGATTGATATTAGCATGTTGAATGTGGAAAACACGGTCATACAAGGTTATCAATCAGCTGTTAGTATAACAGAAAATCTCAACATTTCATCCGTAAGTTGTCTATTATTTACATATGAATTCTTTGATATGCTGCGCGATTCCTTCGTAAATCCGAATAAAAGATTGATTCGCGTAGTTTAAAGAAGAAAAGAATGAACAATTGTATTGATTGTAATTTTTTCTGAATATTTTTAGTTATTGAAGAAGCACAAGTTGTTTGATATGAATGCGTTGAGTGAATATTTGCACAATCATCTAAGATTAAAATCAAAATTACCTGATAACGTACAACTTTTTGAGAATGACAATGATGATTCAGATTCAGAATTTGATCTCGATAGTGATGACGATGATGATATCAGTTCAGTGTAAGTTACATATTAATTATGACATTAGATAAAGTTTTTGTTTCTTTTTCTATGCATATTTTCATAAAATTATCCTCTTCATCACATGTAGCAAAATATGAAGGAAAGTACGAAAGATTAGTTCGAATTCGATGATCATACATCGTATCACTCAGTTTCTCATGAATTTTTGAGACACAACGAATCAAGTAGTAGCGAAGCAGAAGATGACGATGATGACAATATGGACGACGAACAATTGAAATCATTTAAAACAAGTTTTGATGGATTAAATATCAAAAACAATGTACCAGCTGATAGAGAGAAATCATATTTCAAGATTAAAATCAATGATATAAATAAGTTCTTACATAAGTCCACGGCTTGTTATCTTCTTACAAGAGATAATAATAGCTTATCTACTGATAGATTATCACGAGTTATTCAAACATCAAAAAAATGATGAATTGTTTCCTTTTCTTTGCATAAACTTTTTCTTGAAATTAGAAAAATATGTACTTGTTGATAGTTCGTGTTACTTCTTCTTAAAATCCATAAATTGAAAAACAATACAAAAGAGTTAAGGCAAAAGCTTCGGGTACTTTAAGATAGGTAATGATATCTAATGGCAACATAGTCTATTAAATGTCTTAAAACAGTTTCGTTTTCCGTATACAACGCAAGTAAAGAAGCATAGGGACATGAAATAATATATGACTTTTATTCATTTTCCTAATCAACTCTAATCACTCCTAATCACTCCTAATCATTACTAAAC